ATGGGAAGAAAGTGGGAGGAAAAGAGAGAGAAGAGAAAAAATTATTAATACCTTTCGTTCCATTTACTCGTAATTCTAACTTAAGAAACGTTAAATAGGATTAATTCTTTTAACTCATTTAATGGGAAATTAAGGGAAATATATGCACAGGGTCATTTCTCTTTATACTTAAAGTGTATGGGCTCACGTATGGTGCCCCTCAATGCAATTGGGCCCTGGGCCGTCGCCCATGTTGCTCTGGGCCTGGGCGGGCTCTGCCTAGTGGGCTACCTACTCCTCATTTCACCATTTGGATTTCATTTGGGCTCACCCTCGTATGATGCGCTTCACGTGCGTGGGACCACAATCGTATCCCCCGTTTCTTACACAGTCGTCAACAGTCCCGACTTCTAATAATTAAGTGCCTAAATGCTTATTATCATGTCTAAGAACCGCCCAATTCATTGAATCAGACCGTACATACCTACATATAGTCGGACCCCCCAAGAAATGCAGCCTTGTGTGACTTGGGATCAAAATTGCTTTTGGTTGGGGTTAGTATTTGCTGCATATACCAAGCAACCAAAAGGTTTGAGTCTTGTGTAATCTGGTGATTCATTGTAAACTCTGTCAAAAGGAATTTTCCAGTTGAGCACACTGTTAGGCAATCTATTTATTATATATGCTGCAGTTTGAACTGAGTAAGGCCAATATTTCATGTCCAATTTTGATTGGAACATCAAACTTCGAGCTATTTCCAAAATATGTTTGTGCTTTCTCTCTACAACACCATTTTGTTGTGGTGTATAGACACATGTCCTTTGATGAATAATTCCCTTCTCCTCAAACAATTTCTGACATTGAGTCCCCATAAACTCTTGCTCATTGTCACTTCTAACTTGTTTGACCTTTTTATCAAACTGAGTTTCAACCATTGCAATGAAATTCTTTAACTGATTTGCTGTCTCTCCTTTTGTACTAATAAGAAAAATCCAGACAGCTCTACTGAAGTCATCTACTATTGTGAGAAAATAGGGTGTGTTAGTGACAGAACTTTCTCTGCATGGCACCCAAATATCCACATGTAATAGATCAAAGCAATCAGATGAATGGATACTGCTCATAGGAAATGACAATCTATGTTGTTTTGCCTTAAAACAAACTTCACATCCCTTTAACAATTTCTCACCTTCTGTGGTACAGTGTGCCTTGAGGAATCCCAATTGTTTTAATGCTCCAAAAGAGGCATGACCAAGTATCCTATGCCATTTCTCCAGTGATGCTTGACAACTAGAGCTTTAATTCCTTCACATCTCTGGCACAGTCCAGTATATAAAGTTTGTCCCTCAATTTTCCTTTTCCCAAAAACTTTCCAGTTGCTATACACTCTATGTTGCACCCTTCTGTATCAAATGTGCATCTTATTGAGGTATTCATGCAAGTTTGAGTGACTGACATGAGATTGTACTTGAAAGATGGTGAAATCTTAACATTTCCAACTTGTGTAACCAGCTTTGTGTTTCCATCTGGCATATACACAGCAATAGGTGTTCTCAACACACTGATATTATGCATTAGATCCTTATTAATGCACATGTGCTTGCTAGCTCCAGTGTCTATCACCCAATCATGTCCCTTTATTTTCTCAAACATGGACAATGCATAGTGTCTATCCTCAGCCTCATTGTTAATTGCAAAATTCACATAGTGTTCTTCTTCTTTGTGTGACTTTCCTTTATCATTGCCCAATAATTTTGCCACCTCTTGTGCTAGCATTGTAATATCTTTTAGAAGAACTCCCTTGCCATATTGAGATCTCATGCCATCTTCTGTCTGTACTGCATTGGCTACTCCTTTAGGTCTTCTCTCCTTGAACCACTCTGGATAGCCATGTATCTTAAAGCAAGTGCTCTTGTCATGACCATTTCTTCCACAGTTATTACATTTTTAACGAAAAAACTGTGGTCTAGTATTGTTTTCTTTATAAGGCACTTTGTATTTTACTGTCATGGCCATGGAACTATTCAACTCACTAGAGGTTGAATGAACAAACTTTTGTCTCTCAACAGATAACACCATAGAATATGCACGATTCACATTTGGCAAGGGATCCATCAATAATACCTGATTTTTAACATGGTCAAGCTTTCATTGAGCCCTATTAAGAACTACATCATCCTTGCTTGCACATTTTGCTCAGCTATAGCTTGCCCTATGTCACATTTACACACCAGCTGAGGTACTAAACACCCTAGCTCATCCCACATTTTCTTCAATTTGTTGAAATAGGTCATAACTGAATCATTTCCCTGTTTTAAGCTTGATATGTCTCTCTGCAGCTGATAAATGAGAGGACCATTGCTTTCTCCGAATCTTTGGCAAATCTCGTCCTAGAGAAGCTTCGCGGAGTCTGCATAGAGAAATGCGTCTGCAATTTCCTTTATCATGGACATCAATATCCATGAAATGACAGTCCAATCCACTTTCTGCCACTTCTCAAAATTCGGATCATCCATTTTCGGAATTGCTTTGTCTTAGCTCCTAATGCGATCATCATCGACCGTTTCCAAGCCAAAAAATTCGATCCATCTAGCTGGTGAGATACGAGCTGCATACCTGGATGATCAGATCCACTGAGAAATAGCGGATTATCCTCGCGCGCATCTGAGCTTCCTCCAGCACGCGCATTGAGTAGTGGCCATGCTTCAGTGGAGCGATTGTTCGCCATGGATGATTATCCTCAAAAGTCCACAGAATCGATACAAGCTCTAGATACCATGTAGAAACTCGAAAATGAAATGTTGAGAGAGGAAACCTGGAAAAGATATTTTCTATTTCTGTGTTCTCGATCATACATGCATGGGTGCATTTATAGCTAATACACAAATCAAAACGGTGTCGCATTACATTCATTAAAAGAACCAAACTAAGCGACACTGTATCGAGCAAAAAACAGAGAAAAATATTATTCCATTTAAATTTACACTAACACACAGAGCTTATTAATACTGCAAACTCCATGGAAACTGAAGGCTCAGTTCTACAAGGTTGTCCATCGTCTACTACTAGATTATCTCTAACTTATCAATCAACCGTTCAGCAAAAGTTGTCAGTAATCAGAGTTTTCATACTTAACAGTAAATTTTTTCACATATTATCTAAAGGTCCGTTCTAGTTTCAGATATTTCATGTTAATATTGTTTTGCAGGTTCTGCCGAATGACATGCTGGACTTTTTGGATGCACCTGTCCCTTACATAGTGAGTTTTTATAGATATATTCTTTTCGTGGCTCTTGGTTTCCTTGGGATAAATTTGCTCAGTTTGTCAGATTCTCAATGATAAAATTTGAGAAAAAGTTATGCTTTCTTGTTAACCTGTTTTTCTTACTTGAGGCTGTTCTTTGGAGCAGGTGGGTGTAAAGAACAAGACAGACCCAAGTGCAGGCCATGTTAACAAATGTCATTGTTGTGGATTCCAACCGAAAACAGGTAAAAAATGTTATATCAAGATTAGCTACTCCTGAAATGACACTAAATTTTCTTCAAATTCAATTACCTTACTGCTATTCCAAAAATGTAATCAGACCCAAACCTACATAACGTGAAACCAGCACAATTTAAACAAATTGTATCTTAAAATTTATTCATTCTGTCTCTTACACTACATTTGAAATTTTGAATATATCTTGAGCATAAAACTTTAAGTTAATTCGAAACCAAATGACTGAATAAGCCTTGTCTGTCATGTTTGTGGTCATCAGGTGAAATCACCAACAATACCTCAGCTACCTCAACATAAAGAACTCTCGGAGAAAGTTATTTGGGCAAGAAAAGGCCAGTTTATGAATGTACTGATGTGCAGGTATTTCGATTTGAAGTTTCTCGTCTTTAAGTTTCACATTGATCTTATTCAGTAATATAACTTGTAAATAAACTTGAGCTGGCCCTGCAATTTCTTACGCTTGTCTATGTGTTAAATCACATTGCACGCAAGACATGGATTTCATAATCAAGTTTTCTTCTTTCCTAATGCTGTTCACTAAACCTAATCACCAACTGTATTGCTGCTAAAAGAGAGTTTCATAGAGTCGTTCTCCAGTCGGGATCAGCCTTTCATGAAGGTGAACTTCTTTTAGTAATTATTGCTGATGTTTTTATTTTTCACTTAAGGACATTGAATTATTTCATTCTTATGCTGTTTTCCACTGGAAGTCTAGAACACAATTCAAAAGTGTTCATTGTCATTTTGTTGAAAATTGTTTGGCACAAAGAAAAAACTTAAAAAGTTGGCTTGCTAAATACATATTGATCTGTAGTATTTATATGTGTGGACAACAGCTTTTCGTGTAAACGCTTTTGTACTCTCTTTCTTCCAGAAGGAATAAAAATGCTACTCAGGCAAAGGCGGATATCAAACATAAAAAAAGGGGACGTAAGTTATGTAACCGACAAACTTAAACAGCATCGGTTAATTATTAGTGTAAGACTTAAAGTGTTGTTTTATGTTATAGAGATAAAAGTAGCCTCTTTTAACATATTCTGAGCCTATACTCTCTTATCATTGTAGCGTGTGCAAACCCAATCCCACATCGAAAAATTAAAGGTTCTAAGTCCAATATATAAGTTTGGTGGGCTACTCCTTCTATTACCAATTGGTTTTAGAATGGAACCCCATTTGAGCTTGTTGGAGAACTGAGTTTTGAGTTAAAGGACCTAACAATTGGTATCAAAGCCACAGTTGGTAGCCCAGTTGCGATGTGGATGACGTGGATTTGGATGACGTGGCATGTTCCCCGTGGAGCCGGAATGGGAGCCGGAAGGGCCGGTAGATCCGTGTGCCTTGTGTCGAAAGTCTTCCTGACGAAAAAGGGTGGTCAGGCGGCGGGTTCTGTGCGGTAGATCCGTGTGCCTTGTGTCGAAAGTCTTCCTGACGAAAAAGGGTGGTCAGGCGGCGGGTTCTGTGAATGATAACGGCGGTACAAGATGGTCAGATCGTATGAATTTCGTTCAAGGGGAGGCCCAATGTGGTCTTGTGGGTGTGCAAATCCAATCCCACATCAGAAAATTAAAGGTTCTAAGTCCAATATATAAGCTTGGTGGGCTACTCCTTCTATTACCAACTAGTGTATACCCCGTGCGATGCACGGAAACAATATTAAATTAATAATATTATAAATAGACCTCGAGTTTGAGTCACTCAATGACGGAAGTGGAAACTAATATTGTTCCTATTTAAAAAGAGGAAGCAAAAAAAATAATTATAAATTAAAGAGGAGGATAAACAATACTTAATAATATTATAAAATTATTTTGTATAAGAGAATATAAAAAAATTTGATTGCACACCATTTCAAAATTATTGTTATACTTTTTTGTATGGTTAGCTTATAATATTTGTAAAAGTATTAGTAATTAGACCGATTAGCTTATAATATTTGTAAAAATATTAGTAATTAGACCGATGAAAATTAGCTTCTTAAAGTAGATAATGGATTTCCAGTAGTAATTATGAATTAGTTTCTATTTTATTTTATTTTTTCTTTTTAAAAATAATGGATTTCTAGTAGTAATTATGAATTAGTTTCTATTTTATTTTATTTTTTTAAATCTGTATAGATAAGGGATGAGATTTTTTAAACACGTGAGATCGTATGCAATGAGATTTTGTAACAGAAGAGATAAGCGTGTAGATTTATACTAAAAATAGGAAAAAGAAAAACAAATATTTATTGTCAAATAACGGTTTTGATAAACTAAAAAAATTAGCCGATTTTTTTGCCTATTTAGATTTGTCCAACAATTACTATATTAGGATATATTTAATGATTTTGGCGGGAAAAAGTTTCTAAATTTGTAAAAAGGTTATTCTTTTTATATAATGATAGATTGATTTTAGAATGGAACCTTATTTGAACTTGTATGTTGGGCTTGTTGGAGAACTGGATTTTGAGGTAGAGGTCCTAACAATCATATCCTCCCACTAGTGAGAGAGCTCAAATAAACTCAAAACTGAGGGAAACTTGTGACGTGTTCCCGACTGGGTAAAAGATGAGAGGTATAAATGTACTCAGTCAGCACGATAACATCTTTACATTTTTTAATGAATCTCTACCGTGATTATGGCTTACCATAGTACGATTAGGTTTTGCGTTCCTGACATTATTTGCCAATTATGGTAATGGAAATGTGAACATTTAAGATGCGTTTCCTTTTAAGAGTGATGATTCACAATTTTTTAGGGCCCTGTAANTAAAAAAAAAAAAAAAAAAAGTAGGGAGTTTTAATTCTTGAAAAAAATTGTCCCCAAGGCTGAGGCAGGCAGGTTGGCATTTGACTGGTCCCCCTCATGAATGTTAGCTAGAGTTTTAAGGAAATGTGTTCTGACAACAATTTATTGGTATGAAGTGGATGTTTTGTTTGTGTTCTTAGCTTTGTAAAGAGCACTGCTGCAACTCTTATCTGTCTCTCTTCAATTATATTGTGACTTAATGTTACCAACTGCTCAAGACCACTTAAAATCACCTCTCTACCCACTGTTCCCTTGAAAACAAAATATCAGAAATAATTTTCAACAAACATTGCATTGTGTGTGTGTGACTGAGGAAATTTAATGGTTTGGATTCCCATTTGTATTTGGTGTCAGAAATTGGTAGTGAGAACCATACAAGAAAAAACTTATCATAGAAACAGCTTAAAAATAATTATTAAGTACGACATTTCACAAAATCATATGTTTTGTGTTCCGACAAACATTGATCCAGTGCACAATTGCAATTTACATTACTGTGGTTGATGTAATTTTTGTAACTTCAAGTTAGGCTCATCATATATGAAACAAAGGGATGATCAGGAGCGGTTTCACATTAAACACTCCCAACAAACTGACATTTGAATTTAGAACAAATGTTTGATAATTTGAAGTTGAGAAATGTCAATGTTTACATATATGTTAAGAGAAAAAGGGGTCAAGTTGGTGTTTGATCTTGAAAGATTTAATTGAAGCAATGAATGAGTTTATGTCAGACAGAGTAGCTATATGGCAATCAATGTTGTGCCTCTACTCTGCCATCTATTAATGCTTTGGCATTAAGTAACACTATTTGGGAGCAGGGCTTTTATAAAGAGAACGTAAAAACAAAAACACATGAAAATCGAATTTGGGAAACCACATGAGAATTTGTGATTTAATGGCTAGTTTTCGAGCTGTCATATTATTTTGAAGAAACTTGCATACTTATAATGATAAATGTGATAATTTTGATAATATTATCTTTTAAAATATGATTGTACGAATTTAAAAAATAATTGGCTATCAAGCTTGCCAATATTTTTTATAGCAATACAACGCGTGTGACCAGTGTTTTTCAACCCGGACCGGCCCGGCGGGTTGACCCGGGACCCGGTCGACCCGGAGCTGGAACCGGTCCGGGTGGGCTATTCGGACCGGAAAACAATGGACCCGGTCAAACCCGGTCAAAACCCGGTCGACCCGGGGCATTGACCCGGATGGGTCAACCCGGTTGACCCGGTCCTATATATTTTTTTTATTATTTTTTTATTTTTTAATATATTTTTTATTTTTAAAAAATAAAACTATTTATATATATTTATATGGTAAATATTTATCATGAAATACATATTATTAGTACTTTAATGTGCAAATTGTATATACAAGATATTTAATTTTGTTATTTTTATGTATATTTATAAGACAAAATACTCTATATATAATTTAAAAAAATTTAAAATTAATTATCCGGTTCAGCAATTGACCCAATGACCCGGCGGTTGAACCGGTGACCCGGAGACCTGCCCGAGTCGATTCCCGGGCCGGGTTTAAAAACTATGCGTGTGACGATAGAAGGCAGAAAGACTTTTTTTTTTTTAGAAGAAGGCAGAAAGACTTTCGTAAACAACTTTTTTTTCAATAGATATATGATGTTTACATTCATTAGGTATATAAGGTGTGTTTGTAAAAGAATTTACTCAAATTAAATTAATTCATACTCAAAATTTAACTTAACTTTAACTCAATCCCACTATTCTGAATATTATCAATTAATTAAATAATAACAATCAATCATTAAATAATAACAACCAAATATTTTTACACATCACATCTACGTTAATTCACTATTTCTCCACTCACATAATTATAACTAACCATCACTTCATATCATCTCTCTCCTACTTTTACATCAAATTAATTTTAATTATTTTATTTTAAATATTATTTTAATATACTTTCAAAATTCCACTAATAACTAACTATACTACTTTTTCTAAATTAATCATAATTAACTAAAAAAAATATTTTGAATTAATTTGATTGAATTTATCCTTTTACAAACAAACCCTAGCTTGCGTTTATTTTTTCGTTCTCGGTTCTAGGCTATTTTGAGTATAACTTCTTCTAAATTTAGCTTAGTAGTGATTACATGTTTTCTAGTGTATAATTTCTCTTACTTTTTAACATAAAATATGTTTCGAAAAACAAAATATGTATATTGCTTTTAAAAAGATGATGCGTGACAGTTTGACAATTTTTTCTTTTTTTATTGTGTATTGGATATGTGGATGTTTTTTTATAGCCTCAATCAAAATATATCTCATTTAAATTCTATGCGAAATTAAAGGTCTTTACTAAAAAAAATATTATGTCCTTCCCACGTTTTCTCTACATTACTAATAAAATTAAAACACAAAAGTAGATTATTATTGTATATTTTTTAAAAATATTATTCTTCAACTCACATATTTTTAACTATCATTATTATAAATTTAACTTTTATTATATTTATATAGCATTAGTTCAAATCACCACAATTTCATCTTATACTCATGCACAATTTAAGAAAATAACATTTTTATTATCAAAACCAAAACATTTTTCTCTGATTNTTCTATATCCAATCACAATTTTGGAATATATCCCGATTTTCTTTCCATTCTATTTCAAAAATAAATCATATTTCATTGTGACAGAAAATGGGAAAAAAACGGGTGCGGACCCACTATCATAAAGCGCACCATGAACTGGAAAGAACCCATATGAAGCCCAAATGGGGTTCCATCCCAAAACCAATTGGTGGAAGGAGGAGTAGCCCATTAGACTTATAAAGTGAGTCTATTTTCCATATATGAACGATGTGGGATAACTCACAAGTGATATTCTAACACATTGATTGATTGATTATTAGTTGATTGTAAAAAATGCTTGATAAATAATCAATTATTTGATAGGTAAAAGTAATTAAAATATAAATCTAAAATTCTAAAAATCTTACTTCTTGAGCTTTCTCAAATTATTTTTTTTGAGTTAAAAAAGATTTCCAATCAATATTTACCAAACGTTACAATGATTTTTTTACGGGTATGTCAAACCTCTAATTTAGACGTAAAAACGTTAGTTTACTAAATAATAATGAGAAATTTATCCCGCACACCATCAGGAGCAATTTTAATTGTACATATTGTATTTTTTTTATTTGCAATTATGCTAACATCCTACTTTTTATTTGGAATTATACCACACTCTTTATTCAACACCCTATCTTCCCATTTTTCTTTCCGTCAATTCTTTATCTCTTTCTTATCTCTTCTTCTTCTTCTTCTTTTCATCAATTTGCAGGCACTTATAACTTCCCAAATCCAAAATCAAACAGCCCCACTCAAAATTCTTGTCAAAAATAATAAAATTTGTCACCATTTTCTTGTATTCCCATCCCAATTTTGAAGATCTTGACGGTGGACGATGCCTTGGTGGCGGTCAGAGGAGCGATGACCAGTGGGTGAAAGCAGCGCGGACTGACTTCAATCTCGCGAACTGAGATCGCACAGTGACCAATGGGTGGTCGGAGGTCGTCTTGTGTAGAGACTCAAAAGGCGGAGAATCAGAACACTGGCGGTGGTGCGGCGCGGTTAGTGGGGGGTAAGCCTGATAATGAAATTATGAAAGCCCGCATTTAGGATTGAAGTAGTAACAAATGCTCAGATCGAACACGTGACAATCGAACCTCAAATCTAGTCGCTAACGAGAGACGACCATGGGCAGAGAGAAAGACAAGCGGGCTGGCGGATTTCGGTTGAGGGCGGCCAAGCCACGTCTGACAACCCTACGCCTGGATCTGGTGTTGTGACAAAACCGAACAACTCATATAATATATTGTCAGTATATGTTCGGCATATATTCTGTATATAATAACTATATTTTTTTTTCTGTATATCTTATGTTTGTCTTCTGTATATAATGACTATATATTCAGTATATTTTTGGTATATAATGCGTTTTTTTAGTTTTCTTTTATCTTCTGTATGTCTTTTGTATATAATAACTATATATTCAGTATATATTTTATATACGATGCATTTTGGTTCTCCTTTATCCGGTGGGATTAGGGTTTGATTTTCCCAATCAAGAGGCGACCACCTAAAAAGAAACGGGAAAAAAATCGGGGAGGAAGAAAAAAAATTAAAGCTTGTGAAAAGATAAAAAGAAACAGGGGAAGAAATAGGGGAAGAAGAAAAAAATTATTAAAGAGAAAAGAAAGAGAAAAATAATGTGGTGTGTTTAAAGAGAGAGAAAAGAGAAAAAACGTGTCATATTTAAAGATAGTGGAAAGAGAAAAAAACGTTATGTTTGTAGATGTGCAAATTAAATTTAAATGTAGTAGATTTATAATTATTTACCAATCGGAAATTTATGTATGTAAATTCCCCAATAATAATTTAGTCACAAAACTTTGTTTACCAAATAATGATTAGTAACACGAATGATTGCGTCGATTTGATTCTTGGACTAAAAGCAGGCTCTGCAGATGCCGTTTTCTAAAGCCTAGTAAAACAGTATTTACCAATTACCACATTTGCGCTGTGTGTAGCTCGTTCTTATTATAACTTTTTTTTTTTTTTTTTTTTGTACTTATTCTTATTATAACTAAGATAAGAGCACATACAATATATTCTCAACAGTAATTACATTAAATAAAAAGATTATTGGGGGTACAGTACTACTATTCTACCACTACTATGTGTGTGTGTGTGTCAGTCTGTATGTGTGTCAGAGTCTGTGGGTGTGAGTTTCAGGTTGATGATAAAGTACATCTATTAATATATTAGAGCAACTGTTATAAATTACACTTTACATTAAAATTACACTTTACATTAACAAATTTAGCAATGTTGTTACTTTTAATCATCCAATACACAATATTATCACAAATGTAGTAATGAGGCGGATATAATTAATGTATACAAGAGAAGAATGTGATTCATCCACATTCTATTTCACATTCTAGTCAACCAATGAAGAGAGGAGAGAGAAATAATATTATCATTTTCAAAATATCTAATTATTTAATTATTATTTTTTTTTATTTATATTTATTTTATTTGGCCAACCACAAGTAACCATTTTCAAAATATCTAGTTAATTGACATTTTTCAAATTTATGTAACTACATTTATAAATTGGAAATGCTCTTAAGACCTCATTTACTTTTATGGACATGATTAGACAAAATAATCTAGTCAACTTTACACGTCAGCAAATTATCCTATGTTTATATTATGGGATTAAAAATTGTGAAACTTGTGAAGCATTTACTTTATTTGATTAAATTAGAAGATAACACCTGAAATATCCAAATTGCCCTTCTATTCATAAAAAATGCAACTAGATGCTCGGGAGTCTATTATCGCCCTCTTTCAAAAATTTTTGTGGAACCGTAATATGAGGCAACAGGCGAGGCCGAGAACATCGAAGATGAAGACGACGTAGGCCCCAACGACATTCCTCAGTTCACCAGCTTTTGGACGTCGACGACGTCATTCCGAGGACGACGAGGTTACGGCTATCTCCAGAACGGTTGTTGAAGTAGGGTCTTTCCGATGGTGTTCGAACATCAATCAGAGGACGACGACTGCAAATCGGAGTTCTGGGCTTNCGAAAAAGAAAACACACACAAAAAAAAGGCATCTAAACAGGGAACTCCAAAATTCGAAATACAAAATCCTGAACATGAAAAACTAGGCGACGGAAAACACACAAAAAAAAATGTGACATCGGAGCATACAATTCTCACCGACGGAGTGGACGATGCTACCTTCAACCTCCCTCTGCTCGCGAAATTGAACGATTTAGAGAAACACAGTGAAAGGTATATTTATATGGTATATGTTTGTAAATAAACAGATGTTGAGGGGTATTTTTGTCTTTTTGATAGCCATTTATGAGGACAAAATCGTCATATTCATCTTGGGATAAAAAAAATCCGGTGGAGAAGGTGGGATGGAATTAATCAGACAATAAATGATATGCATGTGGGCCCCGCTGCCACATGTACGCCACATCAGTTGAATTATGTCTCAATCCCTTAATGTAAACGCCAGATCACGCGGGATTATTTTAGTTATCCTGTCCCATCAGCCAAAGTAAACGACGCCTAAAAGATTTGTATTCATCTTAAACAATAACTAAAATCCCGTCTAAAATTTTTAAAGTTAGTAATCTTAGTAATATTTTATACATTTTTTTTAAATTCCTGCATTTGCAACATTAAATTCGGATTTCAATATACCTTTGAATTCGTTTTTTGGTAATTTTCAGTTACGGTAATTGCAGCTGAATAATTAAAGAAATAATAAACACATAAAAAATATTAGATCCCTTAACTACTAAAATCGTACAATTTATTGTACCGTTTAAAAATCAGTTATGGTAATTGCGGTTGAATAATTAAGGAACTAGTAAACACATAATTTTTTTTTTTTTTGGTAGCCAACCATTGTATCCAGAGTTATGCCCCGACTAGTCTGTTGGTTGACTCGGGTCGCATATCTTGCAGTGGTAGGTGAGTCTTCCAACAAGGATTTTCTCATAAAAAATATTTTTTAAGATCCCTTAACTACTCAATTCATGGCTCTTAATTAAGCAAATAGTTAATCCATAATATTTTCCAATTAATTTCCACAGAAATTAAAATCCGTTAACTCATGTTTGATGATTAAATTGTGATTATTTAATATCACGAAAACAGTAAATTTCGTTTGTTTTATGTTCCAATATTAAATGTAAGACTACGTAAATAATTGATTTACCTTACACATATTACTCCAATTAATTGCTATAAAAATTAAAATTCGTTAATCGGATATCATTGAATAAATTGGTTTATCTTTTTATCCTTGTCAGGATCATTCAGGAAAATTGAAAGTTCAATACTCATTATTTTAAATAAAATAATAAATAAACAAAATAACTAAGTTTAATCCCATACTCAATTATATTTTAAATTATTTTAATGCTATAAAGTTTTATATATTTTAAAAAATATTAGAAGAGGAAAAAACTATATAAATATACAATATAATTATAATATAAACATACTTGAAAAAAAATAAATTTATTCAAAATTAAATTATTGAGTTGTAAATA